GTTGCATTGGCGACCGTATCAGTTGCAGTTTCGAGCCCAGTAAAGAGGTTTGACTGTATCTCCTTAAACAGGGCATTTAGGCTGCAGTCTTAACAGGGTCATAAAAAACAGTCTGTTGTCTTAAGCAGGGTAGAAAAATGAAGAGATTTTGTATTAAAAAGGGTCAGAGGTTGAAGGCCTTGGTGGCTCACCTACACCCAAAGTGCCCTCTCCACCTCCCCCCGAGGGAATTATAACACTGAAGATCAACATAGCACACGAACTTAAAACTTCAAAAGACAGCTGTTTTGGTAAACCCAAACACTTAAAGCTGCGTTACAGATATACAGAAACCTGATAAACACTATATTTTTATGGCATTCCAAATAAGAAATAAGCTTGAGACTTAACCTCACAGACATAAGCTTCAACTCTACGTTCAAACAGAATAGGGAAAAACTCACGTATAAGGCCGCTAAACTTGCCCGGTTTGAGTCGAACATTCCATAGTAGGCTTTCACAAATTCCTGTCCTACTTTCTCAAAATCCGGATTCATGTTGCTGTTGTTTTAGTGGCAAAAAAACGGGTTTAAAACCGCCAAAAGGCTCACCCAGCCTTCTAAGTTCCTTCCAAGTAGTGAACCCGTCTCCAGGGCTGCTCGCTTGCCGCCTGCTACTTCATTTAAGTCAGGTAGTCGCGTCTCCCCGTGCGCTGTAGAGACCCTGCAGGGCTTTTATTTGTATTGCGGAGTAAGGAATACTGGAAAGAAAGAGATAAGAAATTTATAAGTAATTAGATAGAGGTTAAAAATAATAATAAATAAAAAAAATTACACACTAAAAGTTTTAAGAGGGCTTAAGGGCTCACTGATCCATGGGGTCTTTATAACCGGAAGAAAAAGTGCTTCGAAGAAAACTATGGCGGGTAGCAGTGCTGATAAAAATACGCTTTGCATATACTTTTTTAAAAAAAATTAAGTTTCAAAACGTCATAATAAATCGAATTCAGAGGGATGCACACAATTGGAGCGAGAGGGGGCGTATGTCCTAAGGTGGAGGGGAGGGGGGCTTAAGATCGGTTATTGTGGTTTTCACATGAAACTATCGATCCTACCGAGATTTTACTTTCACGATGTACTAGAGCAGCTGAAAACTAATTTTCATAAAAATTTTCGCTACAAAAGGGTTCTTGGTTTTGTGATAGAGTGCGCTTGAATTTCTAAGCTTTTGCGTGACGCGGCATTTACATCTGCCGGTTCTCTCGCCAGTACATCCAATTTTTTTACTGAATAAAGTCCTTTAAAACGATAGATTTGTCAAGTACATAATCTTTTTCATAATGAAATTACAAATACTCAAGGAGCTTCTTATTTAAGTGCGTTCTGTAGCCAAACTCGGTAACAGATGTGTCTGTTGGTTTCTGCCCGCCATGTTGGAGCTCATCCGGATGAGCTCCATATTTACCATACATATTTACCTCCTTTCATTTTCCAGATTCTGGACTTTTGATTTTCAGTTTCATCTATTTTGAATGGCGTGACACTGAAAACCAGCGAGCCCGAATGGGCTCCGAGTCAATAGCCCATGAGGCCTTCGGCTACTATCTCTGAGGAAAAATGGGGGACTTCTCGTAGTCTACTGAATCAGTAAAATCTTGAGTACCCAATTTTAAACTTAAAACAGTAAATTAATCCTTACAGCAGGAGTGATAGAAAAAAATAAAGAAAGAAAGCAAAAATGAAGTGGTGAAGACAAACGACGTTTTCCCATACTCGATCAGAGATCGTTTCTTTTTCTTTCTTTTTCGCTTTTATCTTATGTTATGTTATTTTATTTTGTTATTATATAATATTTATATTATATTATTATTATTATTATTATTATTATTATTATTATTATTATTATTATTATTATTATTATTTTTTATTTTTTTATTTAAAATGTTTTATTTTTTTTTAAATGTTCCGGGATGTTACGGAATGTTCCATGTTCCAGGTTTTATCGACGGCCGTAGAGGGGGAGGGGGGACTAGACTAGACTAGACCACAAAAAGAAAAGAAAAAAAACAGCAATAGCCAAACCCTTACAAGACGACAAAACGTTTTCTCCCTCTCTCTCTTTTTGCTCCGCTTCCCATTTCGTGCCTCTCTCTTCCTTACCTAAACGCCTCGAACAGGCTCCTATGGCTGATTAGGTAACCGCTCTAAAGGGTCAAAATGCCTGATTTAGCAACAGAGCGGGAACGTCAGTTGACGACGGCGCGCGCAAATCAAACAACTCGCTTGACCAATGGCAGAGCGGCAGAAGGGGCACCGGAAGTAGAGTTTAGTCCTTTCCGCGCGCTTTCCCGTCTTCAAATGACGTTGCCTTGAGTGATGCCGGACCTCACGGTTGTGGGCCACACCGTCGTTAATTAATGCAAAATATATAAACGGCAAACTGATCCTAACAGCAAAGCGATGAAGAAGTAAAAAAATAATATGGTAAAACAATGATATTTCAACAAATTTACCCGCGATATTTCGGTTTCCATAACAAACCTTCAGGGGGCTAAGGAAGAAGTTTGGTCAACATGTTGAACAATTTCGTACCCAGATCTCCACAAGAGATCTGTCACTAGCTTAAGTGAAGGTCAGCTAACAAACACCTATTAAAAAATTGAGGACGATTTTTTTATTTCTCCGCATATTAAATTCCTATTTGGTTTATTAAAATTATTTACAATTCTTCTTCATTTTCCACTGTACATTATAACATACTCATTAATACCAACTTATCCTTAACATTTTAGTGAGACTAATAACAAGAGTCAACAAAATCACACTAAAAGTTTAAGTACATGTCTAAAATTAAAATAAAATATCTCTATATTTCTCGTTGTACACAGTAAATTTCATATTTCCCCCTATACGAGCTGTAAAGCTCTTCTCATTTTCTCAGATGAATTTTGGCCCTTGTCAAGTCTGCATCGTTCAAATAAATTGTTATTTCAGTCATTTTTCTCAATAAATTTAGGCAAATGACAGTAACCTTTTTTTAGTTCCACCTCAAGGTGTAACACATTTTACCAAGGCTTGCAAATTAAAACCACTTTCTACAGCGTAATAAATTAAAAAGCATCAGAGAAANTGAACAATTTCGTACCCAGATCTCCACAAGAGATCTGTCACTAGCTTAAGTGAAGGTCAGCTAACAAACACCTATTAAAAAATTGAGGACGATTTTTTTATTTCTCCGCATATTAAATTCCTATTTGGTTTATTAAAATTATTTACAATTCTTCTTCATTTTCCACTGTACATTATAACATACTCGTTAATACCAACTTATCCTTAACATTTTAGTGAGACTAATAACAAGAGTCAACAAAATCACACTAAAAGTTTAAGTACATGTCTAAAATTAAAATAAAATATCTCTATATTTCTCGTTGTACACAATAAATTTCATATTTCCCCCTATACGAGCTGTAAAGCTCTTCTCATTTTCTCAGATGAATTTTGGCCCTTGTCAAGTCTGCATCGTTAAAATAAATTGTTATTTCAGTCATTTTTCTCCATAAATTTAGGCAAATGACAGTAACCTTTTTTTAGTTCCACCTCAAGGTGTAACACATTTTACCAAGGCTTGCAAATTAAAACCACTTTCTACAGCGTAATAAATTAAAAAGCATCAGAGAAAAGTACAGTCAAACCCATTTTACGAACACCCGCTTAATACGGACGCGGACAGATTGCTTTTTCCCTGGGGAAAAAAGCCCCGGGGGGGGGGGGGAAGAAAGCCCGTACATTTTCTCTAAATGCAACCCACTTAATACGGTCACTTTCTATGACGCCCTCAATGTCTGTTTTAACGGAGTTTGACTGTACTGTTCAGTAAATTTCACTTCAATAACAATATGCAAGAATTTTCCCCCAAACGCGAAACTCTGCTTTGAATCACCATGTACAGCATAATGAACAGGAGCAACGGAAATTGCTTTTTTTTTAGTACGCAAAAGTCATAAAATATCTATTTAAAAGACCCGCTTCACCTAAAGTAACCTCTAACATTTCAGTCAACAGAGGCGGAGTGATGCCAAAGCCATCTGTTTTCGGAGGTATATACGAGGTGTCGTTTTGAAGGTGAAAGATTTTCAGTCCCCATCAATTCACTAATCGGGATATGTAATGAATACAAAAAGGCGTTCCTGCGAGTAACGAGTAACGTTTTTTCTATTTTCTTTGCCTCTTGAGGGCTCTTCCATATTTCAAAAATGTAAATGTATTAACAGGTGAAATAAAAGATTGTTGTTGTTAACCGTTCAAACTGAGTCGTTGCCAGAATTTGCTCAGTTGAAGAGCGCTGTCAAAAGATTCTGTTCCGAAATTGCCTTTATTTTGTGGGTGGGGCAGGGGGAAGGCCGGCGAGAAAAAGTTCAGCCTGCGAAATGCAGACGTAAACTAAAGCCGAAAAAACCGGATGCCCTCGCAGGCTAGAAAAAGTTACGTTTTCAAATGTATATGGATTAGTGTACAAAATTGGGAAATAAGATTGTTTTCGTTAGCTAAACGTTCCCCAGCTGCTGGTGCATGTATAAGTAAAGGATGTACTGGACTGTTCACAGTCCTCTATTTTCCATAGGATCATCGGGATCGAGCGCTTACCGTTACCGGCGGCCATCTTGGTTTCAAATGTACCAAGGGGACGTGCCCCGCCCTCTATTTTTCTCGCCTCCTCCACAACCGTCCCCTGTCTCCTGCCCTCTCCCCTCCCCCCCCCAACCTAAGTAGATTTGATAGACTCGGTACATTTGCAACCAAGATGGCCGCCTGTAACGGTATGTACGCGATCTTCTTGGACTCTAACATTCTAAAGACGTACAAAAGTGATTTAACTTTTCCGGTATTCAGTTCCCCTCCCTTTTGAAATAGAAATTCAGTAGAACCCTTTACAAGCGTTTTCCAGGCGTCTTCTGTCAAGTGCCCCGTGATTTGAATGGTGGTACAATCAACCGCAAACCCAGCGCGTTGTAAAACACATTATGACTCGATGTATCCTGAGTATTCTGTTTTAGGACAGGGCATCCGCAAAGCAAGAGAAACTCCATTCAAAGGCTTCTTTTGGTAGAAGTGGATCAGTTCTTTGAGTGTTTTAAATGCTGGTCCTTTGCCGAGGCTAAAGAACGTCTGAGTGCCATCACAAATGTCCTGCAACCAAGTAAAAACAAATGATGACGCTCAGTTCCTCCAAGAGACTCTTGGTTCGTCCTAGATATCCCTCAAATAAGCTTCTATTTAAAATAAACCTGGGTTTCAGAGGAGCCCAGGTTTACAGACTGGTTCTTTGGGAGCGGCTGTCTCATTTCGCTTCTCTCCTCCCCCCTCTCCCCCTGGTTCTCAGGCTTTTGGGGGCTTACTTTTTGCGCAAATAAGCGGGGAAAGTGAATCACCCCTCCTAGCACATCTCCTTCTAGATAAAATTTACCTGGATTAGCTGACAGTGGTAGACTCTTTTGTTCATGCAGAAGGTCAGCACAAAGACTCTAGCAACGGTGGTACTCTCACGAACCAGGAACAGGCTGGTTAAAGAAATAATAATAAAAAAAGAAATTATTAAAAGGTAACTTTGACATGTACGGTAAGGGACACACCATAAGAAAAGTTATTGGGGGTTGGGGGGCGAAGTTCTTCGTGCAAGGGGAAATTGAATGAAAAAATCGTACAGGCGGAGTAGTCCTAAAAAATATCCTGCACTGGCAAAAAAACCGCCATAACTTTTCTGATGGCCCGTCCCTGTAGTTTAATGTATGACCCTGCTGTTTATCGCATATTCAAACAGCATTTTCAAAATACGAAGCTCAAACTCTAATCCGTTCGTTGGCATGAGTGCCCCGGATTAAAATTCATTCATTTCGTTTTCTCACAAGTAATACTGAAATCAAATAGCACCGGGCATATGCAGCCTTGAAGAAGTATTGTTTGAATGGTCGCAGCACAGACTAGAAAGTTAGAACCTCATTCTTCTTCACGACTCCACGGGAGGGAGCACGCTACCGGTACATAGACAACTAAGAGCTTGTGGCTGTTAATACAGCAACTGTGAGCGAGAGTGAAAGTAACGCTAGTGTTGTTACTCAGTTGCATCACATCTCCGCGTGAACTTAAATGGGTTATGTCACGAGGATTTTGCTGGTTTTGGTTAATTCTGTGCTGAAGTCATTACTTTGTGCCTGTACACAAAATGCCCCTGTAGAGTAAGGGTCCCCTTGTCCCCAATAGGGTTCTTCAATCCCGTAATCCCGAGGGTTATTTTTCGCATCCCACCTCCCAAGCATACTTTCAATCCCGAATATCGCCCCGATGCAGCTTTAAAATCCCGAATCCCGAGCTTCAAATAAGGGAAATCCCGGGTCCCGAAAAACCTATTTGGGACCCTCTAGAGTTATTAAATAGATATCAAATAAATTTCATCACGGAGCACTAGCCATAATAACTTTTATGGTAATTTTAGAGAGCATAGCTTTAAAACTTCAAAAAGTTCAATCCATGTCCATCCNCATACTTTCAATCCCGAATATCGCCCCGATGCAGCTTTAAAATCCCGAATCCCGAGCTTCAAATAAGGGAAATCCCGGGTCCCGAAAAACCTATTTGGGACCCTCTAGAGTTATTAAATAGATATCAAATATATTTCATCAGGGGGCACTGACCATAATAACTTTTATGGTAATTTTAGAGAGCATAGCTTTAAAACTTCAAAAAGTTCAATCCGTGTCCATCCTTGCCATTCTTTGCAAAAGACGACAGGAACCATTTTCAACCTAAATAGCAAAACTGGACCATTATTTGTGGAATTCAATTTTCAGATAGCAAATAGCTTGACACAGCCCCTTTAAATGGAAGACAAGCAACAATAGCTGGGTGTCTTACCCGTCGTGTACTCCTGCAGCTAATAGTAGCTTGAGTGATTGTTCTCTTGTGATCCGCCCATGGTACCACGGCTCTGACGTAAAGTAGTGCGTTCTAGCGGGCGTTTCAGATAAGACAACTGGATTTGGGCCGTTCACTATGAAAAATGATTTAACGAAACCATAATTACAGGGAATAAAACTAGCCAATCAAAGCAAATGTGTATGACGTAATGAAACAGGACCAACGCACTTTAGTTTGTCGTGCAGTCAATTTTATGTTTTCACGCGCTGGCCAGAGTTGCGTGCTTTTCTTGGCTTTTTGATTAGCGCGGAAAAAACGATACCAGTTCAGCGCGCGGGAAAACATGGCCAGCGCACCATGATAAACCGGTGTTAAGCGCGGGAAAATGTGACGTCATTTGAAAACGATCTGTAGAGAAGAATTTTCCGACTTAAAACACAAAGAATCGCTTACCATCAACTGTAGTGTCGCAGTGTATAAAGTTCTGAGATGCAGAGCGCTGATTGATTTTCTGTGCGAAAAACAAAATGGAAGTCAGAGCTACTCATTAAAATTAAGGTATTAGATTGCAAATCATATTCACAGTGGTCTATATGCAAAGCAAGGAAGCAGTTTTTTCGCCTTAGAGTACAACCCTTAAGTCTAAACCAAAGCTAAAGTGACCAATCACAACGGACGCAGACAATAGCAAAAGCCAATCAGAAGTCGTAACAGATATAAAGCAGCGGCCACGAAGGGCGGGAAAACGTGCGTGAACACGTCACAACTGGTTTTGACTTTGCCTTTGATTGGTTGAGAAAGTAGCACGGGATCTATTAGCCAATCAAATTGTGTAGCACCAAAGCAACTGTAAAAAGTGGACTTGTCATTTTCCCGCCAAAGAAAATCCAATCGGCAGCCCAGTTTCTGTTCCCCAAATTATGGATAATAACTTTCGAGCAGTCCTTCTACAGCTGCGAATACTTTGCGTGTTGGCTAAAAAAAACAAAAAGTTGCGCTCGTTGTTTGGGTTCGTTCATGCGTATAGCGTTTCAAGGACGAACGAAAATCGCTCTATTCCGTCCTTTGCACGTATATTTTATTTCTTCAATTCATTCTCGAGTGCAACAGTTTATAATAAATAGAATTTAGGGATACAATTACTGGGCAAGATAAAGGGGAACTTATAAAATGCCCTTTTAGTTAAATTACTCTTTAGCACTGGCGGAGGTTAAGAATTTGCGGCCATATTACTCGTTGCTTACCACTTTGTTTCGAGTGTTCGCAAGTTTCTGAATTTCTTTGCTATTTGTGATGACCTTTCCTGATTTGCCGGTGAAATCCATCGCTACTTGCCCTTCCTTGGTTGTTATGCTGTTTATAATCTCCCCTCCGTCTCTCTCGCTCATAATATTCTGAAATTAACAGTAACTTATTCTCACTATCCACAATAATCATGAATACACAATGAGACATGGAGGGGTGAAAATGGTCGCTGTCCACAGGTGTGGACAGCGGTACGTTCATGCGCATTGAAGGCAGTGTACCGCGTCATGCGTGAGGGCTGCGAGGGTGGGTCGCTGACCACCCTCTGAGATGTTATTAAAGATGATATCAAATGCACACAATAGAAAGAATGGTGGTCATATATACAACGTAATGAATTGTGGGATATCTATCGTTATGAAAATACTTTTGTTTTATTTCCGGTACTGAGAATAGGTCAACTTTTGTGACTTGTTTAAACGCCAAAGTTGGAACATATTAAGCAGAAACACGTTGAATAGTCAGACAACTACCACTACCTTTTATCACTTTCCGTAAAATAGGGTCAATCAAGAATACTAGCCTGTTCTGTTAGTGTTCGATGAGTTCACGTTGTTTCCTCGAATTACAAATTTTTCACTTTAGTCTCTATCCTTTCATTTATTTCTTCTGACAATTTCATGTCATCTTTGCCCCGAACATCAAGGAAGCAATTAGGAGCCTTTTTACTTGCTTTATTTTTGTTTTTTTTTTGCTACTGTTCCGGGTAAATTCTCGGAAATATCTTACGTAAATCCTTCGTCGGGTGTCTGCGAATCTCAAGAAAACTTTGAGTCATTCAGAAATTGATCAGCGTGATTCAAATTTGAGAAGAATTTGGATATGTTAAGCTCTATTACATATGCAATGCCCTCTACGGCCCCGTTTTCACTTTTAACAACTTCGACAAAACACCGTTAACCCATCGGTCACTTACATAGAACAGGTCAAATATTTGATTTTCTTCTTGGTATAAACACTCGCTAAAACGTTTCCGGGTTTACCAAGAAATACCAAGCCACTTAATGGGTAACGTACTTGACATTCAACACGTTGTATGTGTAGCATCATATACAGTCAGTACCGACTCAAGGTCATGCTAAATAGATTTCGTATAAATGCTTACACATGGCATTTCCATCTAAAGACTTAGCACAAAGTTCATATTAAAATCTTTTTGTACATGATGTACAGCACAACAAGGAAGTACTTCTCAGTAGGTTTCAGTTGAAAGGTCACACCTTAGGATTTCATCAGCTAACACAAAAAGATAGAACCATCTTGTGCAGCATAATAGACAGTAGCACAGGAAACTAGAGTACTGCTCAGTAACTTTCATTTGAAGGGTCACAATTTAGGATTTCATCGACAGACTCAAAAGAAAGAACCCTTTGTACAGCATAATAAACAGCACCACAAGAAAGTACTGCTCAGTAGCTTTCATTTGAATGGTCACACTTTAGGATTTCATCCACAGACTCAAAAGAAAGAACCCTTTGTACAGCATAATAAACAGTACCACAAGAAATTACTGCTCAGTAGCTTTCATTTGAATGGTCACACTTCAGGATTTCATCCACAGACTCAAAAGTTAGAACCAGCTTGTACAGCACAGTAGACAGTACCACCGACAGCAAATTGTTGCTCAGTAGATTTAATCATGATCATACAGCAAAATAACCTGTACCAATTCATTAGCTTTCGTTTGAATGGTGACACTTTTAAAAAATTAAAAGCCATGCTAACAGCATGATAAACAGTACCAGGGAAAATGCTGTTCAGTAGCTTCCACTTGGAGAGTGACAGTTTGAGATTTCACCCAAAGACTCAAAAGTTACTGAGAACTTAGTTCTCAAAGGACATTTCAAAAGCACCATAAAGGAAAGTACTTCTCCAAACTTTTAAGCTGTCAAAAATTCACCAAATACCTCGAGACTCGAGACTTCCCCGGAAGATCAAGATAGAACGACAACGGACAGGAATTCTCGCCAACAAAAACAATAACCAAGATAATATCCCACAAGACGTGGGCAACAATTTAACTCAATAATTACCTTAGACGGCATTTCAGTGTTTTAAAGCTGAAGAATGGGGCCACTTTTCATTCAAACGAATCGTGAAGGTGAACACTCTGTTTTTACCGCATGGAGTTTTATCGCTGTGTCGAAAAGTTATTATCCACTTAAAACATCGAATGACTCTTTCTAATCGCCAGTTACGTAAAAGCGAATATGTCAATGGCACAAAGTTAGCTCACTTATATCTCAAGACCCCAGAGAAACAATATAAAAGGAAATGCATCGAAAGTTATGTCATGTGCTTTTTAAAAACTAGCGCTTTTGACATGTAACCAAGTTTCAGAGGCAAACACTGAGACTTTTTTTGGGTGCGGGGGCATTATGTCCAAGGATGTTTACAGTCAAATGAAATGTTTGACCAGCACCTTAGTTGCGGTTCATTATGCTCTTTGCGGATGATATACTGAAATGGAACCAATTTACTGGAAATTTATTAAACACAGAACGGTTTTGTTAAGAGTTGTAGGTAATTTTCGGAATTGCTCATCTAAAATCCCAGATCTTTCCCTTGTAATATTAAAGATTAGAGGAAACAAGTAAGATGTACCGTTTGTTCGAGTTATTCGTTTATCAGTTTAGTGGTAACCCGATATTTTCAAATCTTTTTATTTTCGAAACTGACCAAAGCTCATATTCGTCCCCGATTGAAACACAACAATTTCTTTTTTCCGGAAGGTTAGAAATATCGAGTCTGCAAAGTATATCCAATTGAAGCCAATTACTCCCTAACTTCACAGGGTGGGCCAATAAAGATAGAGTACTTGAAATAATTACGTAACATAATTATCGAAGCGTTAAAATGTAAATTTAAGTTAACAGTCCCATATCGAATTAACAATATTTCAAATTTTCTATCGTGCTGTTAGCCGTAAGTTTAACACGATTATCATAGGATCTCTGAACAAAATGCTCTGATATTGCTGTCATTTTCTAATTAATATAGATACTGGCTCCGCAGGCCAAGGAAAAAATTATGGTTAAAATTTAATAGAGTCAAACCCAAATGTACCGAAATAAGCGTTACTGGCCGACACCTAGTTTTTGGACAATCGACATAACAAGAACATAAAAATTTCTTAGTTCTAAAGAGAACTTTCTTCATAAAAAAATTCTTGGCACATAACGCGGTTTCTTAGTGATACAACGAAGCGTGGAACTACGGATTCTATCCTCAAAACAGGTCTGTTTTATTTTCGTCGAACTAGAGTATTTTTTCTTGGGTAGTGCATTACTTTCAAAAGTAGTAACCGCCAATGAAAAAATAAAAAATAAAAACTCCATAAAAACCAACATAGAACGACTTGCGCTGACTAGACGAACAACAGACGCCGAGTCGGGGAGACGCATTGCCAATCATTGTAATGACTACTCAATTTTCTTATAGGTGGATATTTGCGTCTCTTGAATCAAGACAAGCATTCGCAGCCCGGTGGGTGTGGGAGGGAGGGGGGGTACTCCCTATAATGGCTTATATGGGGAGGCTCCGCCAGAAAGGGGTACCTTTCTCAGGCTTCAGGTATATCAAACAGCTGGTTAAAGTATATTAAAGGGTAGGGAAAGCTGTCATTTCGGTCTGTAAAAGTCCATAAAAAGTGAAAGATACTTTTTATGGCAGTGAAAAAGTCGAGAAAAAGTTCTGGTTTTGTGATTTGTTCATATCCAAACGACAGCGCATTTAAAGCAGTCAAAAGGGACGCAAAGTTTTAACCCTTTAAATCCTAGTATCAAAATTCAAATTCTCATTTGTTGTCCCTATATGTTTTCAATAAAAGTAGTAAGGAGAATTTGTTGAAGTATCAATTAGATTCATCTTGTGTGACCATGTCCTCAATTCTCATGACCACTGTGTTTTATAAAGCAGTGATATTACAAGGAGAAATTTGACACTGATCACTCTTAGGGCTTAAAGGGTTAAACTAGGTATGTGAAAGGGGTACCATTCGTCAATAGAAAGTACTAAAAGGAAAAGGGTAACATCTCTGTCAAAAATAGTATACAAAAGGGTAAGGGGTTGGACCTCAGAGCAGAGCCTTCCGGTGTGAAACTTTGTTGAGTAGCCCTTCCCCCGGGATTCGTAGCCTGACCAAAATAGACTTAACGGACCAAAGTAGCTATATTTAAGAGACAGTCAGATGTCACCAAAACAGAGACGTGCCACTTATCTCGTAGTTACATTCAAGACCTAAAAAGGCTAGATTGGCTAGTTCTCGCCGCTGATATCTAAAATGGCTCGACAACTATTAATAACCTCAGGAAAGTGCAACTCGGCAATAGAGGTGGGGTTAACACCTATTTTGGAGCATTATTACGTATTATGTAGCCGGCTTTTTGATAACATTGTCAGTGATCCCAACCATAAATTGAAGGCGCTCCTTCCACCAGATTATGACAACTCACGCTATAACCTAAGACGACAGCGCCATTTTAATATGAAAAAGCTTTGTACGAACAGAACAAGTAATACTTTTATATATGCGATGTCGAAACAGTCCGGGCTGTAGTTTTATCCCACATATTCATGCTTTATATTTTAACATATTTTAATATGAATGTATTATATAGAATTTTTAATATTATCTTAAAAATCAG